AGATTATCTCTGAAATGTGTGATCTGGCATGTTAGACTATTTATTACAATCATGCCATTTCTGCTGTTTCTACTTTAAGCAGGTTATACCTAAAGGGGTTCCTAAAATAATAACATAAAAAACTTGATTTTAATTCAGAATGCCAGATTCTCTCTATTAGGTTCTTTCTACTGAAAATTTATGTTTTTATGGAACACTGTAGTTGTAGATTGGAGAAGGAATGCTGCTCGCTATGATTGCGTGTTCCTTTACACATAGCTCCAAGAAAGAAACACAGAACCAACCACACATTCTGCTATTTTAGTAGTGACTTTGTAAATTGAAGGATTGTAAAGAAGGACAAGGTATAGAACCCAGATTTGGAGTGCCTACAAATATACAAATTAAATTAAGAATAAGGAAAGCAATATGTATTAGGGTTTTCAATTTTAAGGAGAGGCTTTCAGAAACTGAGGAAACAGAAGTTATTAAAAGGAGTCTGAAGAATTATAAATTTAAATGCAGTAAATGATCAAAAGTCAAATGCATGATACTTGAACTCAAATCCTATAAAAGAAGAAAAATTGCATTGAAAGGGCTCCATATCTGAACAGATGAACAGTTTTTTCAGTAAGTGAAGGAAGATTCTACAGGGAAAGAAAGACAAAAGGGTGAGCAAAACACCCTACATTTGGAAGGGCTGCATCTCCAAGATCACAGTTTTGTTTTTCAGATATGCCACCAAGGAAGGTATTAATCCCAAACTCCTGAGTGTCTTGCTTTTTTCTTCTGTCTGCACATTATTTCTGAAGTTAGCTTTTCTTTTCCTCTGAGTCTTATCATTAAAGATGAAGATTCCTCCCTTTGCCCAAAACAAGATGCCAGCTAAAAAAATAAGACAAGTTCCGTGTTTTAAACTAATTCTTTGTGGGAACCCTTTTGCCACTGCTTGAAATGTTTACAAAGCTCTTACATTAGAGAAACAGCCTTTACTAGCTCAATGTCCAGTTTTCTCTGAAAAGAATGAGAGACAGGGACAGCATACTGTGTATTCTTACTATGCAAACTTTTTTCCAATCTGAGGAAGCACATAACTCTTCAAATGTCTGCACATACTTTACTAAAGGAACATTTTTGTTGCCACATTCTCTTCAAAGCTGCTAAAACACTGCATGGTTAGAAATCTGAGATTTCCCACAAAGCACCATGAAAATAAGGGACTGGCTTCATCAGCCAGACTTGTTCAATAGTTTATCCTGTAAATTTGTCAATAAATGATGTGTTTTCGAAAGGATAAATGAGGATAAAAGAGCATTTGGAAATTCTGTTCCAGTAATGTAATCATAATAATCCTTTCACTGTACAAGGATTGTTTTATCTTCTCCTCTTAATTTAGGTTAAAGAGAGATTTTTCAATGTCTTAGTATTGATTGTATGAATCCAGGTATCCCCTTACAATAATTCTAATGTTTCTTTTTCTATATATATATTTACAAAGCTTGCAATTTTTATGCTTGGTACTGGGAAAACAAGCACATGTTATAGGAAGTGGTCTAGTTTCTATTTTGGGTCACAGAGTAGACCAGTTGCAGTCATAGGACAAAGTTTTGTTAAGAAGTCTGACAGCGCATACAATCTGTAACAAAGAGCTGAAAACAATTGAGGGCAGCCTTTGTCCTCATTCACCCTTTATTACTAAAATTTAACTACAGTCATATGGGATTTAGAAATAAAATATCGCTCAAGAGTAATACTATCTTTTCTTTCTTAGTTTGACATGCTTTAATGTAGAATTAAAGAATTAATTGTTGTTTCAAAATAGCTCTCAAAATATGCCATCAGTGTTTCTTTCTAAAGTATATAACCTTTAAAATATTTCTTCTACCTCTGGTTCAGCACTTTTGACCATTCAACAGTCAGCTAGAACAGCCTTCTCTGCAAGGAGAAACTGTATTTATGCCTTATCCTAATAGATTTATTTAATAGCAGTGCAGAAGGTAATACATCTCATACCATTTGCTAAAGAAGTGCAGTTTTCTAGGGCACTGGGGAATGCACTGTTAGGAAGCCAAGTGGAACCAGATTTTATACTGCTCATCTTAAGTCCATGCTTAAGACATTATTGTTTCCCACTTGTTGCAAAGGTATAGCCTCTTTTCTTCCAGTTAAGGCAAAGAAAGTGCAACTGGTCAGTGCTAATAATATATATGATAAAAACATTTGACTATAGTTTTTGTTGTTCTGTTGTGTGTTTAATTAGGTCCAAAGCTTGCTAATTCTGTAATGTTTTTCCCTCTAATGTTTACTATGCTGTTCAATAGAGCAGCTAACCCATGTAGAGCTGTCTTATTTTCTACACATTTTTAATTCTATCTGTTGTTTCCACCGTTATTTAAACAGTGTTTAAGGACACATGGAAACTATTTGTCTTGATTCAACATTTGGTTTTGATGTGTTCAGAGGAATGAGGCTTCATTAAAGAAGTTGTCCCATTAAAATGTTCTAAAATGACCCGCTGCTGTTATACTTTGAAAGGAAATGGCTACTCTGTTGCCTGATTTAGTTATTTTAGAACACCATTTTAAAAGATGCAGAGAACAAACGATATTATTTTTCATTATATTATTTTTACAGTGTTAACACAATCTTGCTGTGTATATGTGTGCTTGATTTGGTGAAAGCCTCTCTGCACATTTTTGATAAAAATATGTGGACTTCTAGAAAAAGTTTAACTCAGTGCGAACTGTTCAGACAAGAACTAAATTAAACCTCTTCCCCTCTGCACTGAAGAAGATGAAGCTAGTAGATAGGACATTATTTTCAACTAGAGTGTGGTCTCCCTCTGTTCCCAGTTGTGCTTGTTGGTCTCCCTCATAGCCATTGGTATTTCTTTCTTGTACAAAGGCAGAATCTTTTCCCTCTTTCATATTATTGCATGTACACCATTTTTCTGTTTTCTGTTTTAACTGCCCTTACTAAGTAAATGCTCTTTCTCTAACTAGATAATGGCACAAGACTGGAGACTTTGTCTATCAGTGTTCACTTGCATGTCAATCACTTAGACTAAACTAATAACTACATCTTTTCTCACCTTTTCTTCCCATCTCCCATACTTATTTATACCCAGGACAGAAGTAAAGGATTTAAACTGAGTGAATGCATGATGGATCGAGATGTACAGAATAATAGCCATTAATTAATGTCACTGACAGTAATTGATTTAAACAAAAATATGTCTTTTATATGTCTTTGTCTTCAAAACATTCTGCAACCCATGATTCCTTCCTCAGTACTCCTTGTCACAGCATGATGAAAAGCAGTGGTTTGTTTGTTAGCTTGGGCATAATATTTAGTCTGATAGTTGCTGAAGCCTCTGGAAAGGTTCTCCTTTACTGAATTAGTGCTGGACTGGGCCAAGACAAATCACCATTTGGTTTCAGCAAGAATTAAGAATAGAAAAAATTGCAGCAACATTAATTGATAAATTAAAACTCTCTTTAACCAGTTTTTAACTTATTTTCATGCTGTCTAGAGGCAAAACTAGTTTCCACAAGTTTTCTTTTTGTTAAAAAAATGCAGCATTGTAAAGCACTAGCTCAAAGTCAGTAATATTACTGGAGTGTAGGAATTGTGTAGTGTATGGTGAAAAGCTATTTTAAAAATATCTTCTGATATTCCTTTGTCTCAAATTATGATTAGGGAATTAGGAATGTTTTTTGCAATAGCATGTTGGATGGCTATTGAAGGGTTTTGATGGAGCATTGGTAAGACCTGGAGATGGAGGTGATGCTTTATCAGAAAAGATGATTTGTGGTAAGATGCCATTTACCTTATTGTCTGGAAATAGACATACCTAGATGAGCTTTAAAGTTACCAGTGGAACTACAACAACAGGCGGAAAGATTCAAAGTGTCCTAAATGAAGAACTAGGTTTCTAAACTGTACTGAAATCTGTGATGATGCTACTAATGCTGTCAGCCTCTGTCATGGTTAATTTCAAGATAGTCTTGCTATATATCCTAACCTGTACTGTACTATTAGATTATGGTGTCGGCTTACCCTTTGATATAGTCAAGGGAAATGGGAAACATTAAGTTATATGATGGAAAAAGGTGACATTTTGAGATCAAGATCTTGTTTGATAAAGACTGAATCTTTCTATGCATGGAGTGCCATGAAAGTGAAAGTCAAATGCTATCTGAAAAAGTTGGTTAAGAAGCCTCTATTTCATTTCTTATCGTGGGGAGATGTCCTGCACAAAGGTTGAACACACGTTTAGTTCTTCCTTTCTCCCCGTTTGTAGCTGTGTGAAAGAGGTTTATATTTCAGAGGTGGCTGCTAAAGTTAATTCTTTCAGTTGCTTTTTTCTCCATTTGCCTGGATGATGCTAAATGCACTTTAGCACAAGATAATTTCATAATCTAATTAATGGTGGGCTCAGCCATATGTACAATGGAACATCACAAGTTCATTTCCAGTGTACTCACCTCATCGTTTTACTGCATTCCTGGTTCATTGAAGTGGTGACAGCCACTTCTTAGCTAGAAGAAGCTGACATAGTCCTAGTATCTGGCTCACTGGGTCAGAATGGTATAAAGTTGGGGCAGATGATGACATTGCATTTTATCTGAAAATATTGCAAAAATGGCCCTGAAAATATATATAGGAATATTTTATCAATATAGAAACTTTTTACATTATGAAGTATACATCCTAATCAGAAAAGAATAGCTCCTCATTGGTGCAATATGATGATTTTCTTGTGCAACATAAGCTGATCATCTTAAAATAGCTCTGTGCAATTTATGCAAAGAAGACAGTCTTTAAATGCGGTTCTCAGCACATACAGCCACATAAAAATAGGGAATACAATATTTCAAATGTATCACCAAAATTGTAACATCTAATACTGTCAGATGGAGAAAGGCCAACATAGCTCGCACACCATAGCATCTATTAATAGACCTGATTCCCTTTTGCAATGTCAACTGTAACATTAATCCTTGTTTTAAATCATAGCATCTCAAATAGCAGCTGCTACTAGTTGTACAGTTCTCTTTCAGTTTATATCAGAGAGCCCAATGGAGTCTTTTGAAGGACCTCGTCAGGTTAACAGGGCTAACTTCCTACAAGTCCCCACGGGAAATGATTGCACTTCAGACGACGAAGATGTTAATATTGACATTAAACTTCGTTTCTCCCCATGTCCCCGAAGACGGAATTCTTCAGCTTCAGAGGAAGAGGAGGCAGATACTCCCACCCACATCTCAAGAAAAGTTTCATTTGCTGATGCATTTGGGTTTGATCTTGTGTCTGTTAAAGAGTTTGATATCTGGGAATTTCCTAATACAGGACAAGAAAATTATGTAGAAGATGAAGTTTTCCCTCAAGATGAATTTTTTTTCTCGCAGCATTTTACATTACCTGCTTCTCAAGAAGAACTTTTACAAAAAGTGCGAGAGCAGAAAGTAGTGCTGGAGTCAGTCGTGCTCCTGCCTGGAGTTACCTGTATGAACGGCATTATACGAGTCCTCAATGTATCCTTTGAAAAACAGGTGTATGTTCGAATGACATTGAATAACTGGCTCACTTACTATGACATCCTCGCAGAGTTCATGCCTAATTCTTGTGGTAGTGAGATGGATCAGTTTTGCTTTAAGATTTCTGTGGTGCCTCCTTTCCAGAAAGATGGAGTTAAGGTGGAATTCTGTATCCGCTACGAGACATCAGTTGGTACCTTCTGGGCAAACAATGATGACAAAAATTACACACTGATTTGTCACAAGAAAGAAACTGTGCCCAAGGTGGATAATAAATCCCAGAAAGAGGCTACAGATAGGTGTCTTAAAGGCTGCCTAAAGACAACACAAAGCAGGTGAGGTTTCACCTTAATTTTTGGTAATTTAGAATACAGCTGGCTATTTCTGACTTTCTGTGTGTGCTTACTTGAGTCAAGACTGCCCATGTTGTTTTCTTCTATTTTACTTTTGTTTTGTAAATGAAAAATTAGACCAAGACTTGTTTCAGTAAAGTGTTTGTATATATCAACCAGTGATTTTCTGCAGAGATATTAGTTTAGATAATAATTTTATGCATGGCATTCATTTGAGAAGCAGTGTGAGGGTCTATAAACCCTCTATGCACTGTGTACCAATTCTGATCTCTGTAGTTTAGAAACTGAGCTGATGTCAATGGGATCGTTGTCCCAGACTAAGGTAGCTGTACAGTTAAAAAAATTTGCATCCATTTCCTTTGTAAGTCAACAAAAATTTAAAAGCAAAACAAAAGCAGGGTTTTCACACAATTTATTTCATGGTTCTTTCTCTACATGCAATTATTAAATCAGAAATGGTACTGGTGGTTCATGAAGCAGAAGTGGATAACTTAGGGAAGAATCCAGCAATTAAAGTAGCTGGCACAAACTTTTCTGCATGTGGCTGGGCTATTCTGCAAGTTAGGGCTATAATTTCTTTTCCCTGCCACAGGTTCATGCTTCTGTTTCACAAATGGTGAAATGAAGTATGTTTTATAAGGCAGAATTGGTAATATATTAAAGAAAAAATGTATAAATTTATCTTCTGTATACCATATTGTTCTGATTAAATATAGACAAGTAATATGTTAATTATAAAGTGGCAGTTGTCAACTTATACTTTAGTAGCATATAAAGAGAGACACTTCAGAATAGTCACTTCTGTTCTCCTAATGTTTTCAATTATGTTCTTTCTGTTAGCAAAACAATGTTGCATGCAAAAATCTAATTCTCATTATTTTCCTCCCCAAATTTACTATAAATCTTTTGGACTTCTGCAGAATTAAATCTGTATTTTACCTGAAATTTCCTTCTCAATACTCAGATGTCAGAACTAAGTTAGCGTTGTGGTTTTGAATTTATGTTGGGATTTTAGTTCCCATACTCTTTCCAAATAAGACAGTGCTGTTTGATTTTGCTGGTGCTTTTCCAGTGGCCTGAAGTGGTAGGGAAGGGGGAGCAGAGCTGCAGTAGTGGTGAGAGCTTAAGGAAGAGGGAGACAGCCAGGGCTTCCTCTATGCCAAACCCTCTATTCCAAAACCAGACTTGCTGTGCTGGGAACTTCTGCCAGCCCTAATCACACCTTAGCCCTGTGAGGAGAGGTGCACAGTACAGCCCAGGGCTTGTATCAACACCACAGGGTAGGAGCCACCCCAGGGCTAGCCCAAGGTCTGGCTCATAGCCAGTCCACAAAGCTCTCCTGACAAGTGTCCTTTGGGCCAACTCTGGAGCCCTCATGATGATACTTCCATGAAGGAACATCCCAGTATGCCAGAGCAGAGGGAATGATGCTTTTATTTTGATTCCTGTGCTGTATTCCTGACATTTGTGTCTGATTTTAAGGAGTGTCACATGGCCTGTTCTGGATAAGAAGGATAACCTGAGATGCCCTGCAGAGGGGCTGTGATATCAAACACCATAGGCATGACTGCAGCCTGAGCTGAGCTAGCCCACAAGGAACACATGATGGACATGGAGAGCTGAGTCTCAATTTAGTGAGCCCTGGGCTACCAGATGGTTTCAGGAATAACCTGAAAATTTAGGTACCATTGACGTCTAAGGTCAAATGACTTCTACAGGTTTAATTCCCTAAAGTTTCTCATGACAGGCATAATGCTAGCAAGAGTTGTAGAAGCCTTCCTTCTGGGGAATATTCTTATATATGGATATACTAAATGATTTATGTGTAAGTCAGACAGGGCGATTTTAACAAATGGGAAAGAAGATAATGTGCCTTCTTCTCAATATAAAATTACTTTGTCTGTAATCAGACTTTAAAAGTTGTCTCCCTCTATGTTAGACTGAAAAGGAATGCATGTATGTGTATGTGTTTATACATACATGTATATATATGTATGTATGTATACATTTATGTGTTTATTTGTTCATATAGACATATATACACATGTATGTTTAAAATATTTAAACCGAAGTGGTCAAAATCTTGTCTACATTAGGATATACTACACATTTCTGTCAAACAATTAACAACCATGCACTTTCAAGACTCTCTTTAGTGGCAGGAAAATGTACAGAGACCTTATAGAAAATGCAAAAATGAACTGCAAGTATCTTTGGAATATTGTTTCAGTGGTCACCAAGGCTTCTGAAAGACAGTTCTGTCAGTATGTATTCCAGGACTAATTTTATGCCACAGGGACTTCTTTGAATTCACAAGAGTCACAGCTTTTGCCAGTGCAAATGAGGTCAGCATCAGGGTCTTTTGTTTCAAAAGAACTAAGATGCCAACTTCCATTGCTCACTTGTTTTTCAAAGTGTCTTTGTACATGTTGCCCCTCTGAGTGAGGAGGAACACCCTGCAGACATCTGCAAAAGTACCTCATTATTCTCCTTCAGACCCTCATTAAAACTCCTTTGCTTTGATATCCCGAAAAAAGCACAAGAAAAACAAACCCCCCAAAACTGGCAAAGGGAGGCTGCTGATGTGCTGTTACTCCTTCATCTTGCATTGAGCAGTGCTGCCCATTTACCAGCTCTCCTCCACCAGCCCATCTCTCTCTCTCCTCTTAGCCTGGATTATAAACTCTGCAGCATTTCTATGTGCTATGCTGGCTGATTATAGAACATTTAACAAAGTGGGGGAGTCACCGAACATAACCAGCTTGTCCTTGGAGTTGCAGCATTACAAATAGATAGAAGTAAAAGCAATTTTATCTGTGATTCTCCCAATAAAGTGACAGGTAGGGAATATCGCTATCCATACCCATGAGTTGGACATCTTAAATTAAAGATTTCTTTATAGCAATCTGAACAAAAGGATAATTTTAAAGGACACTCATTAAGGGCTCAGTTTCAAATTTAGAAACTTGTAATAACATTTTAATTTTTTTTTTTAACTCCTGGCTCTTAGATATTTATACTTTCTCTTAAAATGTGCAATTTACCTCTGCAGTTATAAAATGAGGCAGGACAGGATCGTGGTTTTTAAGCAGAGAGTCTGATCCACTTTAGGGCATACTTGTGTGGCTCATTAAATATCATTAGCAAGGATTAGTTGTGTTAGTTAACTGAAAGGAATAATATTCACTTTCAGAGGAAGTTACTGGGGAAACACAATAATATGACTATTTCAAGTTACAATTAAGAGCATGATCCAGGACTAAGATGAGTGAATGAGGCTAATAGGCTGTTCTGACACCATTATTAAGAAATAAATTTTAAAAATGAGCTTAACCCTCAAAAGTTACACCTGAAAAAAAATTATAGTAAAAAGCAAAACTGCATCAAATAATTAATGCTAAAAACTGTCTATATCTGGATATTTGGAACCACATCACTTAAAAGTCTGTCTCTTTATTTCATGTTTCATTTGCTTTTGCTTCTGTGTCTAGGTATGAGCCAATAGTCTTCTCTTAAAGTTTCATAAAGTATTTGGTTCTAGCTATATTTTAACAATCTAAAATTATTTCCTTATAAACTTTAAACATTTTCATGATATTCAAAAGTCTTCAAAGGATGCACAGGGACAAAATACAGTTTGGGGAAATAATGTCTAAATTAATTAATTTATGCTTGGGTCTGTATGAAAGTGTATGCTTAACTTGTACACAGTCATAGATATACTTTAGGAGAAAAATTGAGTCCTAAAATTGTAAGACTCACTGGAAGAAGAAAATCTCCTACCAGTAAACAGGCCTAATTTCCATCCTATTTATAAATATAAATAAAATATTTACACATAAAATTATATATATATATATATATATATATATATATATACACATACAAGTTAGAAAAATGTAAATTAATTGCATCAGCTCCACTCTTTTCTCTTTTTTTGACTCTCATGCTTTTGGGATATGGATAGTGATTCTGAACGTGAGTTCTTCCCAATCCTCAGATTCAGACCACATGATTTTATTGTGGACACCAGGCTCCTGCATTGGTCTGATCAGACAGGACGTGGTTGGCTGCTGTGTGAGGCAGACTCCTGCAGATCATGCTGAAAGGTGCAGAGATAGAATTATGGAAGCCATGTCCCCTGTCACTGAGGATGCTACATCTCATATCTGTGCTTAGCCTTGCTTTGCCATCTGTCAAGAGCACAAGTGACAGCACCAGGAAAGTGGCTGATAAGCATGAGAATTGTTTTACAGGAGGGTATCAGGTTTGGACTCCTGTCCTCTGACAAGAAAGGGGAAGACAAGCATTTTTGTGACAACTGTTAGAGTTATCCTCCCTTAGCTCTCTGAGCCCACAAATATATCACACTGATCTGATCCACAAGTGTATCACTGTGATCCAGCTGATATTGATCCTATGCCTTTTTTTTGTAATTGCTGAACTTTACTTTTTTGAGTGATGGTGCATCAATTCCCATTCCTCCATGATGCCACTTAGAAACACAACACAGGATAGGGCAATGGCTCTTACAAGAGCTGCTCTATGAGCACAATGAGAAAGAAGAGATTAAAACCCATGTCTGTTGACTGCCAATGCCAACTTTGCCAGCATATATGCTGAATGGTCTCTAAGAAATTGTCCGTGAGAAAAGTTCTTCTGTGCATGAGTGCCTTTCCTTCTTCAAATGCTGATCATCTCTTTCTGATGGGAGGCAAAGGAAGTAGAACTTGCTGAAGATGCAGCTTGGCAGGACTGCATTGTGCTCACTGTGCTCTGTCTTCCCAGGCAGATGGCAGACCAGTGCCTAGGTTGTGCTGAGAAATGCAGTTTTGCTCCTCTTGGCTTTTCCCACAAGCTCATGATGTGATTAAAAAAAAAATCAAAGGCTTCTGACAAAGATGTTTGGAAATAATCTCTCATGCACTTTGCTATGAAGAACAACTGCATCATTCCCATCTGGTCCATTTAAAATATGGCAT